GAGGAGGACGTTGCAAATTGAGCAATCTCCTACCCATCATATCCCACACGTGCTCAATTGGGGATAAGTCGGGAGATCTTGGTGGCCATGGTAACAATGTGACATCATTATGTTGAAAGAAGTCTATTGTGACTCTTGCAACTTGTGGTCGGGCATTATCTTGTTGGAAAGTTGGATTTGCCAGGGTGTCAAGATAGGGTAAAAGATGGGGTTCTAGAACTTCGTGGATATAACGCTGCGCGGTCATGTTACCTCTGATGAAGATTAAAGGTGACCTGGAACCATAAGCTATAGCAACCCCAAACCATAACTCCAACAGTGTGATGAACATGTCTTTCAACAAAAAACTGTGGATTCCTCCTTTCACCACGTCGCCATCTAACCCTGGCACGACCATCGTGCATGCCTAAACAAAATCGAGACTCGTCACTAAAGACAATGCTGTTCCATTCCTGATCCCAGAGTGACCGTTGTCTACACCACTCAAGGCGATTACGTCGGTGTTTTCGAGTTAAAGGGAGGACCCAGTGTGGCCGGTATGAAAACAAGCCAAAACTTCTCATTCGTCGGTAAACACTTCGCATGCCAATAGGTCTTCCGTGTTCTGCAAACCATTCATTTGCAATGGACCTGGTAGTGGAGAAACGGTCCCTTAAGGCCAATTATCTTAGGCGGCGATCTTCACGGTCTGTTGTTCTCGAAGCCATGCCTGACAACACCTAACTACAGTGTCTACACTTCTTTGCACTCTAACTGCAATTGCCCGAAAAGAAAGTCCAGCTTCCCGAAGTCCCACTATACGGCCCCTATCAAACTCACTAAGTTGACGAAATCGTACAGGTCTCCGTACTCTAGGCATCGTAACCGATCGTAAAGGATGTCAAGAACCAAAATCCGCCAACGTTGATTCTTTACTGCGGCTGAAATATTCATTTTTAGAGCGTTAGTGAATTAAAAAAAAGCAGTATAAAAACCAGAATGTCCAACTAATAAGGCTGAAAATTTTTTCACTTGTTATTTACAGTAAGATAAATACATTCACCAACTTTTATTAAAATAAAACCATTTAAACTGGGTGTTCGGATTTATATGTCACTTAGTATATTAAAACTATATTATGATAAGTAATTACTCAATATAATTATAAAATGTTTATACAACTACTTATTACATTTTTATTTTTAGGCAAATCAAACAGAGACTTTCAACTGCTCTTACCCACTGAACCAGTAGAACACCTAATCGAAGATGAATACGATTATGATCAATCAGAAGAACAAGAAATTGCTAATAGGAACATTCCCCTTTTAAACCAAGAGCAACGACGTATTTTTACCGATATACTTTTAGCCGTAAACGAAAATGAAAGAGTTTCACATCGTCTTTTCTTTATTAAGGGAATTGGAGGTGCAGGAAAACATTTCTATTGAATACACTACTGACTTACCTACTAGGAAATAATCACCGTTACATTTCTATCTGTTATACAGGTATCCCAGCCAGCTTACTGAAAAATGGCCAAACGATTCATCCTGCTTTTATGTTACCGGTTCCAATTCTAGAAAATTCAACGTCAAGGATTCGCAATCAGAGTGCGATTGCTGATAATATTAGATATTCAAAAATTATTGTCATTGATGAAATATCGATGGTACATAAAAGTATATTTAATGAAATAGGTAGGAAGATAAGAGAAATAATGAACAATGACATTCCACTTGGCGGCAAGATTATTATAATTCTAGGCGATTTCAGGCAATGCGCACCTATCGTTCCATTGGCCGGCAAAAATGAAACTATTTCTGCATCAGTGAAATGTTCCCAACTATGGCAACACTTTGTTAAGTACGATCTTCTTACGAACGTTAGAGCACTGCCACAGCAAAACGAGTTCAAAGATTGGCTCATGACCATAGGAAATAATTCCGAAATTTTACGTCACTTAGAAAATGGCAGAGATACTATAGTCAAAGTTCCTAACCATATTATTGTAGAAAATGTTACTGAAAGCATTTACGGTAGCAATTTAATTGAACACGATTTCCGTTAAACATTCATGTGAAGGATATCAATGCAGTTGTTTTAGAAAAACTGCCAGGCAGATCACGACAATATATAGTGTTGCTAGTATTATCCGAGAAGACGATACAACTGAAAATGCTGCTGATGATTTAGATTCCGCATGTCCACAAGACTTTTTAAATTCTTTGGATGCTCCAAGACTTCCTCCCCACATTCTTACACTAAAGATTGGTGCAGTTATCATTTTAACGAAGAATTTAGATCTAAAGAGAGGTTTATGTAACGGCACACGCTTATTGATTCATAATTTACACGAAAATTTTATAGAAGCAAAACGAGTAGAAGACCCTAATAATGAACCTTCGATCGAATTAATTTCCAGAGTTGACAACATCGCTCTAAACTCTCTTGATCTACCAGTCAACTTGAAAAGGAGACAATTACCTGTACGTTTGGCTTTTGCAATGACAATTAATAAAAGCCAAGGTCAAACTTTGAGCAGTGTATGAAATCTTTTTCTCATCGATAAGGGTACATCTTTATAACATAGCTTTCTGAAAAATCAGAGAACTACAGGGTGATTCTTAATGGTTGGGGGCAATCAATGTGCCCATTGATAATTTTGTGCAAGAAAAGTAAGGCAAATTCCATGCTGAATCTTTCAAAAGAAGTCATACCTTTCTAATGTGTTATATGAAAAAGACCAGTGTTATCAACAAAGATACCCCTCATATTACGAAATTTGATATTAAAAATATTATATACTCTGTATATTTCCAACTGAATATGTAAAGCATGGAGGTCTTTTCTACATTTTTTGCAGTTATAACTTGGGGACAAGTTAGAACAGCAATTTTTTTATATTACATAACCTTCGCTATGTGCACCAGTATAATTTTTATGTTGAATAACTGTTAATAATGCTTTAATATAACTACTATTAAAATCTATATTGTTCACATATGATGGGTGTTATAATATATATGTAGACATACTTTAACCATCGAATCCTTGGTCAATTTGATAACGAAATTTCCATAAGAACATGGATCCGCAACAGCTTTGTTTTCAACCTAAAGCATATTAGCACAAAGAAATATTGATGTTCTAAGAAATTATAAAAGAATGGAACATATTTGGTGTGGTGAATATCACATGATTACAGTTGTTTTCAGATCCTCCATGTACGTAGATACGGATAATGTTATCCAGTGTTTTTTGAAAAAATAGCATGACAGTGATTTGATTTAATCCCAATACTTTTCATATAATGACATTTGGGAATTAACTTTCAGAAACATAATTTTTCTTTTCATTATGTTGTATTTTCTAGGTTAGAAAAAACCTATGACATTGACTTAACATCACAAAACAAAAAACATTTACACTGAAAAAGGAACAGTCCCGTGCTGTCCATAGGCGAACACGATTGATTTATGGCTAGAGATGGTCGATATATCGGTACCGGCGACCTTTCCCGGTGACTTCAATGGTCGCCGTTAGTCCCGGCGACCTGATTCTCCATGAAGCAGCGACCCAGATCGCTGTTTGGAAGTATCGGTAACCACTGATCGGTAGCTGTAACGCTGTTTCGGTCGCGGTCGCTGCCAGGAAGCATATACACATCACGTTCGCGATCATCGCGCGGGAAGTACAGGGTCGCTACGGCGTAGCCTAACCTATTTTGTTAGTTTTTATTGTTATTGTTGTGAGTTCCTGTTTCATAGAAAAATGTTTCGTTTATTAAGCAATGTTTAACATATAAAAGAAGCATTTTTATACTACATTTGTTATGTTTTAAAAGTTTTATTTTGACTGGTAAAACAGTATTTTGTTTTCCTTTTTAAGATTCATAGAAAGATATTTTATGTATTTTTATGATTTTATGTGTTTTGTGCTCAATATTGTTAAAAACAAAAACCTTAAATATAGTTTAATTCAAATCTTCAGGAACCTGAACATCTACACCTCGTTAATATCAATGGATAACCGCCGCCAAATATCGAGTAATGTAATCAGCACCAGGGAGTCGCTGGCTGCTGGCAGCGACCATAGATAAGCAGTGACCTAAAGCGCTGCTAAATCTACCGGCGACTTTAAGGTCGCTGTCACCGATATCCCGGCGACTTCCAAGTCGCTGCTAATATCATCTCTATTTATGGCAGTCAAGCGCTATTTTTTTGGCACGTCACGTGATTGCCAGATATATAAGCAACGTTAAATCTGAGCTTATTATACAATTTTATAGAGGACATTAATACTGTATGCAAGATTTTATAACGCCATCTGTGTTATTAACGACAGATGCGACGTTGCCGGCTCCGCACATAAATCTGAGTATGTTATAAAATTTTATAGATGGTATTTGTAATGCTATATGGAAGATTTTATAACGCCATGTTAACTGACAACTCACAACAGATAATGTCAGATGTCAGATACCAGGTACCAGATAACAGATAACAGATCAAAGGTGATAAAGGATAGATAATGATTAGAGATAGGGATAAAGTATATCATTAACATTGCATTAGCATACCAGCAACTGCGCTACGTGAGGTTTTAAATAAAGACATCAACATACAATATTTTGCATAGCGTTAGCATGCCAGCAACCGCGCTAGTCGACTATATTAAGCGGTGGTCGATTGTTTTTCGTAGAAGGCCACGTGACGCTAGAGATTCAGGCCGTGCGACGTCGACGCGGTTTTTCCGGTATTTTTCCCGGTTCGCGAAACGTTCGCAAGGAAAGAGGTACCTTTTCGGAAAGTAGAAACTCGACGCTTTACCGGGGAGCGGGAACCGTCGCGGTGAGAGGAACGGATCGGATCGAAAACGGCCGGTAAAGTCGAAAAATCGACCGTTTGTCGGGCGGTACGCGGCGTTATTTCACACTCGTTTCGCCGTTTATCGAAATATCGACTCGAGATCGGTCTCGTTCGATAGCTAAACGAGAAATACGTACCTATCAGCTGAATCCGTTCGGTTCCGCGTCTCGTTTTTTTTTCTAGGAATGTTCGAAAAAAAAGCGACAAAAATGACGAATCGCCCGGAAAACTACGATATCTCCCTTATGCCGAAGAGAAAAGGAATTTCGCGCGCCGCGTTTCGTACATCTCGGCGAGCGCTACAAATTACGCGGAGAGACGTTTTTTCGTTTACGGTACCCGTTTCGAATAAACGAACCTCGAACGTCGTCAAGAATGACTTTTTGCGTATAAAGCACGCTGCTTCGCCGTCGATCAGACATCTCCTCCGAAGATAAAGGAGCTACGAACCTGACGATTTTTGCGTGAGAAAGCCCGGACATCGGACACAAAGATAGCGTCTTTGTTTTTCCTTTATCCCTTGTCGTTCGAAAGTTTCGATTTTTCAAAAATTGCCCGACAACACGCTACATTTCGATGCGTGGAAAAGTTATTTTGTCATCCGGCTCTGTCTTCGCCTATTACTACCGTACGTGAGCGAGTAAAAATTATACAGCTATCGAAAAATAACGATAATGAGCTGACGAAACGATTCTGACCGTCAGAATTACCGTCAAATTTCGAAAAAGTAAACTTTGAGCGCCTCAAAAGTACCGATGACAACCGTTTTTTCGGCGTACTTTGTCTTCGTCGATACGGACCTGCGTTACGGAGCGACATGGCTACGATTTTTTTTCGCAAAACGAAAGACCAAAGTCTCCTGATTAAACCGACATACGACACGTTACCCGATCGCATTTTTTAAACACGGCTGATTACAAAATTCAAAGATATGTACACATTTTTAGTTTGACGTTTCAATTTTGAATTTCCGCTCCAGATCCCCGGATTCCTGTTAGGCGGGGTATTGTAGATAGGATCGTATTACGAAAGTGAGCGCGTGCGAGCGGAACGTCCGAAACGTGCTATTTTCGGCTTTATGTCGGTCGCTTCATCGAATATAGGATCACGCCGAATACCATTGTCCTTTTTTACGCGAGTTATGTATCCAACCGGATACGGTAACCATACGTCGGCACATGAACGGCGTTCACCTTTACCGGAAATGCAACATAGACATTTTTAGTTTACTTGGTTTTATTTTTTGTTAATCAGTTCAGTTCATAACTCATCCTTGTAATAGTCGGTCTGTACTCAAATAAATATTTTTTAAAAAGTAAAATCCTGGCTTCGAGAATTTATCTGGCGCTGCGAACAGGATAACTGCACGACATCCCTGAGGATCATCGGCTCGTGTCAACGACTTGGCAGTTATCTACAAATATCACGGACCTGAGGAAACTGGAGACCGTACTGGAGATGAAAATCCTTCTGATTCGTCTGATCCTTATGTAAGTCCATTCCATTTTTCCTATGAGTTCCGAGTATCCACAGGATTCTTTACAAGCTGTTATTTCACTTAGTACTCGAAGAATTTCAAAAGAAAAGTCTAGATTTAAGCCATATTCTACTCCCTCTCTCGAAAATATTTCTACCGAACAATTAAGTACCTCTTCCTTAGAAACTATTACAGAAAACCCAAACATGGTTCTCTCAAATTCGGATATCAATAATCTGTGTAATACCTTGCCAGAATACAAAGTGGGTGAAAATCTATCTACTTTTATCAACTCTGTAGATAATTTGGTAAATTTTTTTTCTCAACAAGGTGCGGAAGCTATCCAAACCTACATCATAAATGCTAATATATTGTCTAAGGTAAAAGGCGAGGCTTGTGATTTTTTAAATCTTCACAATCAAACTCAGTGGGCTGAGATAAAGCTACTTTTATTGCAGAAATATGGTGATCATCGCACCGAGGAAATTTTATTAACCCAACTCACAACCACAGTCCAAAAACGATCCGAATCGTATCATGAATATCACCACCGAGTAACACTAGCATTAAATGATATTCTTCAGCATGTTTCACTTCATGAAAGTAATCCACAGGCAGTTGAGTTTAAAGCTTCATTCTTTAGAAATCAAGCACTTAGAACCTTCTGTACTGGTATAAATAATCCATATTG